ATTGTCTCTTTAACATGGGTGGTGGAAGCTCGAATCCCAGGTGTTTACTCTGGCGGCGCGTGGCAAGGTGCTCACGCCACCTTCTACGGAGGCTCCGACGCTTCCGGCACCATGGGTCGGTAACTAACTAACTAACTCACCATGCACTCACAACTCACAACTCACGTATATAATAGTATCCGAGAAGGAAAAGAAGTGTAATTAAGAATTCATTTGGCGGAATGTTCTTTTTGTAAGTGAAGTAGGGTAAAAAGGTTAAAAAGCAAATGGATCCTTAAAAGAAGGAAAAGAAAAAGAAGAAGAAGGAACGTAGATGTAACCAGATAAAAGGGTGAAAGAATGCAACATGTGAGGCTGGCAAGGTTGGAAGATGCGTGCTGAGATAGATTACTCGAATTAAGCTGGCGCATGCAGATAACGCAAACACCAAGTTGATGTGTTGGACGTATGCGCCATAAATGTCTCTGCTAGCTGCTACTACCACATAGTAGTAGTATACGGTCAACGAAAACATATATAGGGAAGAAAAGTGGAGCTGATAGGTGAGTGAATGGCTAAGTCCTCATGCTATTCAATTAATTCCTGCACAATAACTGGCCATGCCATGGCTTTTGCGCTGATTATATTGTTCTAGTTGTACTACTATTCAGAATATTGCTAACTTTTTCTATTCTTTTTAATAAGAGTAAGGTTACTGTAAATACTAATAGTAATTAACAAAGATATTGAATACTTTCAACTATATTTAATAACAAAGATATTAAAGATATTATAATATCTTCATTCATTTAGTAAAATTATTTAAAATTACAACATACTGTAATAGCTAATGTTTTATTCATTACTTAAAGTAATTATTAAAAAAAATGTGTATATTTTGAATTTAATATTCTGTTGTAGCATTTAAAATGATTATGAAATAGTTTTGTTGGGAAAATTTAAACTAGTATATGTATTTTTGTATGTTGTTTGTTCCGGTACGTCGTGATATGAAGAGTGGAGAAGTGCCGCCACGTTGCAGTGGCAGCGTGGCCTCGTGAAATGCGGGTGGCAGTGAAGAGAATTGAAGCGCCAATCGTTTGTGCTGGTTTTAGGTCACGAAATTCGATGCAGATTGGTGAAACCATAAACCATGCATGCTCACCTGTGACTGTGAATTCAAGGTACACACTAATAATAATAAGAGAAATTCTACGGTACCCATCTTATTTGAGAGGGTACCGGTACAGTTTTTTTATATTTTATATTTTTAATAATTTATTTAAATAATATTTATAATATTTTATTCTTTTAATTTTTAAATTATTTAGTTATTTTATTTTTATTTTATATATTCTAATTTATTTATAATAATATTATTATATATTTAAATAGTTTAATTTTAATAATTTTTTAAGTATATTTTTATCTTTTTACTTAAAATTTTTGAATTTCTATATTTTAATTTTAATAATTTTTTAAATATTTTTTTTTGTCTTTTTGTCTTAAATTTTTGAATTTTTATATTGTAA